TGGCTAGAATGGCCTGACGTTCCGTGTATGTCCGGTCCAATATACACATCTGCAGGGGCGTCCCAAGGCTGGGTGACACCCGGGGCGGTGACCGAGTGTCACCCCGCCGGGACGTCATCATCAGTATTCTGATGCCTGCCGGCGTCCATCACCAAGAGAGAGGAGGGGACGGTCACCCGGCGGGATAAGGTTTGCCGCCGGGTCCCCTCCTGATACTGTCGGGCGTTCGGTCCATGACCAAGCGCCCGACTTTTCAGAGGGGGGGGGGGTGACACCAAAATGACTGTGAGTCATTTTGGTGTCACCCCTCCAATGGTGTCACCCGGGTGCACCCCCCTTGTGACGCCAGTGCACATCTGTGCAGAATCTCATATCCTCTGGATGGAGAATGCGTTGTGTTTCGTCGTACATCATTCTCAAGATTCCTCTTGTTTTATGACAGGAGACGAGCTGCCTTGCGACATGCGGATTCCATCTGACAAGCAGGATAAGCTTCCTCCATGAAGTGAGGGAGAAGCTGTACAAAATGTGACTGATTAATATTCTCGTTGCCTCTGGAGATCGGGAACGATTATTTCCCCCCCCAAAAAAAATCTCTGCAAAGTATCCCGGAGCAGGAGATGCACAACAAAGCTGCAGCCGCTCTCCTTATTATTCAGACGTGTCTCTGTTGTCTGTCTGCAGGTGGACGCCATCATCACACTGCTGAAGGGAAAAGTCATGGCGAAAGCCTTCGAGGAGACCAAGCATTTCCCCATGGAGCACAGCCTGCAAGGTGATTGGTGAATGAGTATCCCCCCGCCCACCAATAAGAGCATTTCTACATTTGCTGCTTGCTGTCCTGAGGTTCTGACAGCCAATTAGACTGCAAACCAGGTCCTGGTATATCTGTAAAGAATAAATCAAGGCGACTGGAGTTGCTGTATGTGTCTTGAAGACGTTTGGGCGGTCATCCGACCAGCTTTCTAGTCGGATGACCAGCGAAACGTCTTCAAGAAAAATACAGCAAGTCCAGTTGCCTTGATTTATTATTTACAGATACATGTCCAAAGGGGTTCTAGCCCTCCCTTACTCTACATTTTATTTATTTACAAAACAACAGGAAAGATACCGGGGTTTCTGAGCGATATGACACCGTGGCTTGAAGTTTTGAAAATAGATTTTTATTTAAATATCACATATAACGCAAAAAATACATACAAATTTGAATAAAAGAAAGAGAGCAACGGCGGTTGCAACCAGTTAAAAACAAAATTAAGCCAGAGGCATAGACCCATTTAAACATGTTCAGACATAACCATAATAAATCAATATATTCTATAAGTCTAATTCCCGACGCGTTTCGCAACTTGGCTTCTTCAGGGGATTATGACCTACCCACCCAAATGGAGTGGCTTACTGAGGGTCTAGGTTTCTTATGGAGCCTAGGTGGAGAGATAGTCCTCCAAAAGGGAAATGCCCCGTCCAGTTCTTTTGTGTCCAAAGGAGGGGAGAGAAGGAGGACCTCGGGGCCGCTATAGGAGGGAGGAGCCACCAATCCAGGCTGGAGAGAGAAGGCTGCCTGCACCTATCCTGTGGTGTTTCTATAGTCTAACGTCCATAGACCTGTCAGTAGTTGTCTGTGAGGTAAAGGGTTGTGGTGAGGGTCAGATCGATTGAGGCAGCCTTAGTGACTCCTATCCATCTGCAGCCAGGCATCTCCAGCTTCCATGTCTGTGTTGTTGGAGAGTTTTCCTCGCTTTCTGTCCAGAATAAGGTCAGCCAGAACGGAAGTGATCGGAAATCTCTTCATTACCCTAAGGAGAACTATGGGGAAAAGCACTGACCCCATAGTTCTCCTTTAATGGAGCCCTTAATAGTGGTAAACATCTGACAGGGGTTCCCTACGTTATCCAAAACTCATTTAAAAAGTTTTAGCTGAACTTCCGATTCGGTATTGTATAACACAACGCATATTGCTGACCACATGCAGCCACCCTGTCCCCTGTGTTGATGAAGGAACCTCTCCATTATTTGAAGATGTATTTTGTCATGGTTGTCCCCCGCAGAGTTCCAGAAGAAGGAGGAGTGGACGGTGAGGTGTCGAAGTATGATCCAGATCAGTATCAGAGAAGATCCCTGGAATCTCCCCAACTCCATCAAGACACTGGTGGAGAGCATCCAGAAATACGTCGAAGGTTTGTAGCACATTGAACCTTTATGAGAGGAAATGTTACTTTGTGATTGTCTGTGACTGTCAGCGTTTCAGAGGTTTATCACTTGTTCTCAGGGCTGTCTTTAATGTGGGGCAAAAGGGACAATTGCCCTGGGCCCAGTCATTGTTGTAGGGCCCGAAGTAGCTGCCCTTTGAGCCTGCAAAAGACACACACGTGGCACTGTTCTGTTTACTATGCGATTGGCAACGCGTAGTGTTGCTCCACCCCTGCAGTACGTTGCGTAGTGTGACTATAAGGGCAAGATGGCGGCTGCGCATGCGCGCCAAAACCGGAAGTGTCCCAAACCGGAAGTGTCCCATACCGGAAGTGCCCGAAAACCGGAAGTGCGCGGAAACACGTGCAACGACCGTCGCACAGGAAGTGATGCAACTAATGGGATCTAGCTCACTATATAGAGCGAGTCTGCCCTTGCTCCTTTGCTGATGGTCTTTCTCAGCTAGTTGTTCCTGTGCCTGCTCCTGCCTTGCCTCCTGTGACCGAGCTTGTTTTTGGACCTTGCTATTTTGGATTGCCGCCTGCCCCTGACCTCGGCCTGTTTCTGGACTCTGCTTTTGCCTTTCGATTGTGTACCCTGCTGCCCGGCTGGCTCCGACTTTTGGCTCCCCTGACCTCGCTTCAGTCTCCCGTCTCTGCCTGGATACCATCCGCTCAGAGGACTTCTGGACTCATCCTGCACGGTACTCGTGCTCCTCGCTGTCTGCCTGCTCCCTGTCCCTACTTCCAGGGGTAGAGAGACACGAGCCGCAAGAGAAGTCTCCTCGCCTTCCGGTCTCTTACCAGGTACGTGACAGTGACCCTGTGACGTCTCACCTAGGGTCACGTCTCCAAATTGCATGATGGGTGCGGAGCCCAAGAAAAATATTGCCCAGAGTCCCCTCAATATTAAAGATAGCCCTGCTAGTTCTTTCATATGAGCGCAGAGTGTTTCTTCTGGTCCCTCTGGTTGGAGAACATCATTGAATTGTATTCTTTCTCTGTTTTGCAGATGGGAAGAATCAGCTGCTGCTGGCTCTGCTGAAATGTACAGGTAATTGAGACTTGTGAGTGCAGCGTAACATACCTAGAATATTGTGCTGAGTAAGGACGGGCCATTGACAGCCAGATTGGACCCTGATCTCCCTGGCGGATGTGACCCCCCGGCTGGTGATTGCCATGTTCCACCATCCACATGGGGTGTGTAAACGAACACCTCCGATGTAGGAAGATCTCTTGATTCCCATCCAATGTTCCAACTCACTGATAGTAGTAATGGGGAGCAGCGACTGTTCAGGCACCAACAAAGAGTGTTGCACCGGCACACACTGAGAAGGTCCAATATCGTATTCATAGATTTATTCAATACATCACGTCGCATACTGTCCTGTAACTAATGTTTCGGAGCCGCGCAGGGATCCTTCATCAGAGAGACAGTGACGTGTGTGTACGGCGCCATCCGTGTGGACCTCTTGAGCACCACAAACACCCTTTTAGGAACTGTAAGGAGTGCAAATGGTATTTGGACTTTTGTCCAGGCACCAATTCTACTCTTCCAGCAAGTCGTGAGATAATCAATGGAGGGTTCTGGCAGAACAACAGACATTTCCCTGCTTGCAATTCACCTGAATTTATACAGCTAGCCATGGTAGAGTCTATTTCACACATCCAGCCAGTCAGGTTCTTCTTCCATTCCATCACGCTACTTGGGGGTGTGCGGGCTCTGGGAACACAAAATTCTTACCTTAGACCTGTTATGTCCACATGACATGAGCTCCTCCTATAGACCCAGGTGATCGATATGGATGAGAAGTTTGGAGGAATGTGGTTTGATGGATGTTAGACGTTTATATACTGTGTGCAGTGTTGTCCTTGCTCTGACATCTCCATGAGACAGTCCTTTCTTCTGTCCTCACCTGGACACATTCTTCCCTCCTTCCTTCCTCCAGCAGAACCTGCTCATTCTCCACATTCCCCACATAAGTCATATTCAGAGAGCAGACCTGTTCTAAAGCAGGGATTTCCTTGTAGCTGTATAGAACCTGCAACACTCCAATGGCTGGATGAGTAGACACAACTGAGTCATTAAAGGAGAACTATGGGGTTAAGTCTTTTCCCCATAGTTCTCCTTAGGTTAACGGGAGGACACAAACTAGCGTCCTCCCGTTACCCTAGGCTCAGTATATAGGGAGCTGCTGCTCGCGGTATACGGAGACGCCGCAGCTGAAGCGGATCCCGACAATTGTGCCTGGATCCGCCCAGCTGCGTGAGTGACAGCTGGCTGCTTTTCACTCACCTCATAGTTCTAGCCGACCTGTGACAATGAGACTGTCACAGGTCGGCTCAGTAGATCGGGAGGTGAGCGAACACATACCGGCGTTCTCTCACCTCTCGATCCTGTCACAGCTCTCTGCCGTGACAGGGGGAGGGGCTGGATTACACCCTCCCCGCTCCGATCCTCCAGCGCTGACTGGTGGAACGGACGGGGGAGGGTACAGCTGGCTCTGCCTCTAGATAGGCAGAGCCAGCTGTCACTCACGCAGCTGGGCGGATCTCGACATCGATGTCGGGATCCGCTCCGGCTGCGGCGTCTCAGTATACCGCGAGCTGTAGCTTGCGGTATACTGAGCCTAGGGTGACGGGAGGACGCTAGTTTGTGTCCTCCCATTACCCTAAGGAGAACTATGGGGAAAAGCACTGACCCCATAGTTCTCCTTTAATGGAGCCCTTAATAGTGGTAAACATCTGACAGGGGTTCCCTACGTTATCCAAAACTCATTTAAAAAGTTTTAGCTGAACTTCCGATTCGGTATTGTATAACACAACGCATATTGCTGACCACATGCAGCCACCCTGTCCCCTGTGTTGATGAAGGAACCTCTCCATTATTTGAAGATGTATTTTGTCATGGTTGTCCCCCGCAGAGTTCCAGAAGAAGGAGGAGTGGACGGTGAGGTGTCGAAGTATGATCCAGATCAGTATCAGAGAAGATCCCTGGAATCTCCCCAACTCCATCAAGACACTGGTGGAGAGCATCCAGAAATACGTCGAAGGTTTGTAGCACATTGAACCTTTATGAGAGGAAATGTTACTTTGTGATTGTCTGTGACTGTCAGCGTTTCAGAGGTTTATCACTTGTTCTCAGGGCTGTCTTTAATGTGGGGCAAAAGGGACAATTGCCCTGGGCCCAGTCATTGTTGTAGGGCCCGAAGTAGCTGCCCTTTGAGCCTGCAAAAGACACACACGTGGCACTGTTCTGTTTACTATGCGATTGGCAACGCGTAGTGTTGCTCCACCCCTGCAGTACGTTGCGTAGTGTGACTATAAGGGCAAGATGGCGGCTGCGCATGCGCGCCAAAACCGGAAGTGTCCCAAACCGGAAGTGTCCCATACCGGAAGTGCCCGAAAACCGGAAGTGCGCGGAAACACGTGCAACGACCGTCGCACAGGAAGTGATGCAACTAATGGGATCTAGCTCACTATATAGAGCGAGTCTGCCCTTGCTCCTTTGCTGATGGTCTTTCTCAGCTAGTTGTTCCTGTGCCTGCTCCTGCCTTGCCTCCTGTGACCGAGCTTGTTTTTGGACCTTGCTATTTTGGATTGCCGCCTGCCCCTGACCTCGGCCTGTTTCTGGACTCTGCTTTTGCCTTTCGATTGTGTACCCTGCTGCCCGGCTGGCTCCGACTTTTGGCTCCCCTGACCTCGCTTCAGTCTCCCGTCTCTGCCTGGATACCATCCGCTCAGAGGACTTCTGGACTCATCCTGCACGGTACTCGTGCTCCTCGCTGTCTGCCTGCTCCCTGTCCCTACTTCCAGGGGTAGAGAGACACGAGCCGCAAGAGAAGTCTCCTCGCCTTCCGGTCTCTTACCAGGTACGTGACAGTGACCCTGTGACGTCTCACCTAGGGTCACGTCTCCAAATTGCATGATGGGTGCGGAGCCCAAGAAAATGATTGCCCAGAGTCCACTCAATATTAAAGATAGCCCTGCTAGTTCTTTCATATGAGCGCAGAGTGTTTCTTCTGGTCCCTCTGGTTGGAGAACATCATTGAATTGTATTCTTTCTCTGTTTTGCAGATGGGAAGAATCAGCTGCTGCTGGCTCTGCTGAAATGTACAGGTAATTGAGACTTGTGAGTGCAGCGTAACATACCTAGAATATTGTGCTGAGTAAGGACGGGCCATTGACAGCCAGATTGGACCCTGATCTCCCTGGCGGATGTGACCCCCCGGCTGGTGATTGCCATGTTCCACCATCCACATGGGGTGTGTAAACGAACACCTCCGATGTAGGAAGATCTCTTGATTCCCATCCAATGTTCCAACTCACTGATAGTAGTAATGGGGAGCAGCGACTGTTCAGGCACCAACAAAGAGTGTTGCACCGGCACACACTGAGAAGGTCCAATATCGTATTCATAGATTTATTCAATACATCACGTCGCATACTGTCCTGTAACTAATGTTTCGGAGCCGCGCAGGGATCCTTCATCAGAGAGACAGTGACGTGTGTGTACGGCGCCATCCGTGTGGACCTCTTGAGCACCACAAACACCCTTTTAGGAACTGTAAGGAGTGCAAATGGTATTTGGACTTTTGTCCAGGCACCAATTCTACTCTTCCAGCAAGTCGTGAGATAATCAATGGAGGGTTCTGGCAGAACAACAGACATTTCCCTGCTTGCAATTCACCTGAATTTATACAGCTAGCCATGGTAGAGTCTATTTCACACATCCAGCCAGTCAGGTTCTTCTTCCATTCCATCACGCTACTTGGGGGTGTGCGGGCTCTGGGAACACAAAATTCTTACCTTAGACCTGTTATGTCCACATGACATGAGCTCCTCCTATAGACCCAGGTGATCGATATGGATGAGAAGTTTGGAGGAATGTGGTTTGATGGATGTTAGACGTTTATATACTGTGTGCAGTGTTGTCCTTGCTCTGACATCTCCATGAGACAGTCCTTTCTTCTGTCCTCACCTGGACACATTCTTCCCTCCTTCCTTCCTCCAGCAGAACCTGCTCATTCTCCACATTCCCCACATAAGTCATATTCAGAGAGCAGACCTGTTCTAAAGCAGGGATTTCCTTGTAGCTGTATAGAACCTGCAACACTCCAATGGCTGGATGAGTAGACACAACTGAGTCATTAAAGGAGAACTATGGGGTTAAGTCTTTTCCCCATAGTTCTCCTTAGGTTAACGGGAGGACACAAACTAGCGTCCTCCCGTTACCCTAGGCTCAGTATATAGGGAGCTGCTGCTCGCGGTATACGGAGACGCCGCAGCTGAAGCGGATCCCGACAATTGTGCCTGGATCCGCCCAGCTGCGTGAGTGACAGCTGGCTCCGCCTATCTAGAGGCAGAGCCAGCTGTACCCGCCCCCTCCCCCGTCCTTTCCGCCTGTCAGCGCTGGTGGATCGGAGCAGGGAGGGGGGAATCCAGAGAGCCGTGACAGGATCGAGAGGTGAGCGAACGCCGGTATGTGTTCTCTCACCTCCCGATCTACTGAGCCGACCTGTGACAGTCTCATTGTCACAGGTCGGCTAGAACTATGAGGCGAGTGAAAATCACCCCCTTCATAGTTCTCCTTTAAACAGTGTCTGATCTTCCATTCCTCTACAAGCCGGGCTTGCCGGGATTTCTTGCTGCACTTTATCAGTTGTAAGTGGAATCCATTGGTTGAGGTGCCTTTATACATTGCCCCTGTTACAGTCTATGAGAGTCGCCGCTTTCAGATGTATGAATTGAGAGTCAAATTCATTTGGAAGTGCCGGTACCCTCACAGATCAGGGTAGAGCCATTTATTGGCGTGTGCTCTCTTCCATCTATTCCCGGATGCATGCACCTATATACAGTATATGTATTCTGGTACCCCGTGTGAGGCAGCCACCGTACAGTGATGGATGAGGTGCACAGGAAATGGTTTGTGTCACTTGAACTTGCAGTAAATCTCTCCTCTCTCTCCTCCCAGATACGGAGCTGCAGGTCCGCAGGGACGCCATATTCTGCCAGACGCTGGTGGCTGCCATCTGTACGTTCACGGAGCAGCTCATGGCGGCCCTCAACTACCGATACAACAATAACGGCGAGTACGAGGAGAGCAGCCGTGATGCCAGCAGGAAGTGGCTGGAGCAGATTGCCGTTACTGGGGTCCTGCTCACCTATCAGTCACTGTTGTCCCCCAATATTGTGAGTACTAGTTAGCAGAGAGAGCCGCGCTCCCATTCCTTCCACCCTTGTGCTCAATCTTTCCTCCTCTCTGTCCTCATACATCTCCAACCCCATGCGGTGACACTTTAACATGCCGAGCAAGACATTGACAGATCGGAACAAGTCCCAGGGCTAACACAATCCTATTTTTACATGTGAGCATTGATGTGTTAAAGAACAAACTGTGCATCTTTTTTAGTGCATGTGAACTAAAATGCACCCCAGGTAGACAAACTTGCCCTTACAGTGGGGCTACCCCTGCGCTGCAAGGGTTAAGTGCTCGTTTTGTCTAGGAGACTCAAATGAAGCAGATTTATTTACCCGATCGCGGTGTTCTATCGAAACCCCCAACTCGTCGAGTTCTCCAACCATCTGACTTCCGGTTTTCTTTAGAAGTAAGAGGTTTGGGCGAGGAGTGTGTATTGCACGTACGCCACCCGCGGCATTTCCCTACACACATACTACACAGCAAAAAAAGTTTATAATGAACTAGGTTCAGACTCGTATAGCACGTTATTAATCTGAGTTGCCCCACTCAATATGGCCGCAAGCGACGGACATATTGAGTGGGTCAACTCACATTAATAACGTGCTATATGAGCCTGAACCTAGTTCATTACGTGCAGTACACACTCCTCGCCCAAACCTCTTCTAACTAAACTGGAAGTCAGGTGGTTGGAGAACTCGACGAGTTGGAACTTTCGATAGAACATCGGCTCCCATTGCAGTCAGCACTCGCCTCTCTCCCCCCTCCGCTCCGGGAATGTCCCTCTGTGTCCTCACGTCTAATACGAGTCACTGGACCTGCATGAGATGTGACGACTTCAGAGGTCCTTAGACCGCCGGAGGCCTGAGGGAGAAGAGGCTGCGGGGATCTAGCAGCCAGGAGCAAGCTGGGATCAGGTACGTAATTCTGCTTTATTCCAGCCCCTAGACCAAAACAAGCACTTAACCCTTGCAGTGCCGGGGTAGCCCCAAGTTTTTTGTATTTTCCCGGAGTTTTTCTTTAAAGGGCCAGCATCCATTGAACACAAGAAGAGATAGCAGACACTGATGTAACTTTACTATGTAACCTCTTCCTCTGTTACCATCTTCCATAGGCCAAAGCAAGCTTGCAATGACCACTGGCAGTATTACTCTATGGCATTGCCGGAAAAGATGTTACATCCCCAAACTATCACCTTCCACACACCCCCCTCATTTGTCCAGCCAAAACCTCCCTTTTTTTTTGTTTTGGATGGGCTGGGGAAGGATTAGAACTCCCAGATTACGTTAGAGAGAACAGAAATAAGAACCTAATCCTTCCCCACTTAGTCCAAAATTAAAATAATAATAACTCAATAAATCAAAGTTTTGAGTGGACATACTATACTGAAACCACAATGTATTCTTCTGTCTTTGAGAAAACCTTCTGTAGCAATCTGAAGGGACCAGGAACTGTCGCAGACATTGGACTGAATTTACTTAAAGGGCATGTCCATTCAGTCTTCTCTGGGTAGTATGGGTTTTGAAGAGGAGCGGAGTGATCGTATACATTGTGTATATTTGTCCCATGTGTCTGACCATCTGCCATCATCCCCTGTACAGAAGGAAGAGCGCATTATGCTGGAGGACATCACCGCCACGCTCCAGGATCTGGATAAAGTCGTTTTCTACTTCAAGCAGATGGACGAGACACTTGTAGCAAGTAAGATATGCCAGCACATGGACGATTGTCTCCCAGATGTTCAGTTGGGGGGGGTTGGGGTGGGTCCAGGGGCGCCCCTCCTCTTCACAACTAGGCGTTTGCCTAGGGCGGCACCTTAAAGGGGGGCGGCCGTAGTCAAACGCCTTGTTCAAACGCCTATGTTGTGAAGAGGAGGGGCGAGCCAGAGCCCGTCTGTGTGTAGGAGTAGAGGGCGGCTTGCCTGCTTATGAAGAGGGTGGGAGGACGGATGGAGACGGACAGCGCAGCCGACTGATGGGACCGTGACTCAGAAAACGAAAAGCAGCCGGCGGCTTTCGGGGGCGGCCAAAGCTTGGCTTGCCTAGGGCAGCCAAATACATAGATACACCACTGGTTGGGTCTCCACAATGCGGAAGACGGAGCAGGAAACTCAATCCTGCCCCTACTCCATCTACTTCCGGGAGATCTATTTATACCCAAAATGTCAAGATTGTGAAGCGTGACAGCTGATCCATATTCTGTATGTTCTCCTTCAGATACGGCCGTCTTCCACCATATTGAAGGAACAAGACAGGCGCTGAAAGTCATCTTCTACCTGGACAGCTTTCACTTCTCCAAACTGCCCACCAAGTTCGAGCACGGCGGATGCCTCAAGCTCCAGACTGTCCTGTTTACTAAAGGTATGAGATCCACGAACTCATCCTCATACACAGCGCTGGTACGGCCCGGCCTGGAATACACAACTCAGTTATTGGACCTCAGAACACAGGAAGGATGTCCTAGAACTGGGCTCATTACACAATAGGGAGGATCATCGCCCATCTGGGTCCATCACCATATAGTGATATAAAACCATAACGAGCTCTGCTATGGACAACCACTGAACTGGGCCATTAGAAGGGATCAACTTATAAAACAGACCCAGACTCATTCTAGTTCCCCATAGACAAGGATTCCCCATTGATCCTTGAATACGTAGTGTTGGCCAAACATTGCCATGTCATGCAAACCTGGTTCCATCTCTCCTGTACTGTCACGGGGTGTAATGAGAAGGACCACAAGAGGAATCACTTTGGAAATGACTTAGTTCTGATCAAGAAGGAACATGAAGGGGTTACATTGTTCATTCACATTACCAGGGGGAGTGTTAAGGAGTGAGGTGAATATTTCCACTGATGTATATCTATGAGACTATTGAAGTTCATATGTCACATTTTCAGCTATTGAAAGTCTGGAGGGCCAATCTCACCCAGGACTGAACATGTCGCTGGGGGAAATTCAGCAGCAGATTAATCATGTGTCCATGGAGAAAGTGCAGAGCTACTACCGGAAGCTCAGGTACTGGACTTCAAGGGGTGGGGGGG